AATGTTGTTACTATTTAACAATAAAAATAAAATAAAGTAAAGATTAACAAACTGATGTCAATAATTGGAAATGAAAATAATTTTTTCCGATAATTTTTTTAAATTTATTTATTTATTTCACTTTTAAATTTACAACTAACAAAACAATGTGCATAAAATCATACAGATTTTTCTCACATTGTGCAGTTGTCATACACACAATTTAAAAAAATACATATTAAATATTACGTAGATAACATAACATTTCTGTGGCACATACCACGGACAACACGCCAAAAGTATTTTATAAAAAAAAAGTAAAGAGTAAAGTACATTATGAATGAATGCTTAGGCGCAAGTCAGCACCGCGCATCTAAATGGCATATATATATATATATATATATATATATATATATAATTTTAATAATATATTTAATATATATATATATATATTAAACAAACCAACATTTTGGGCTCTTTACAGGTCCCATAGCCATAGCTGACTGAGATGTAACGGTTATGTCTCATATTAATGCAAACAACCCTACCTAAGCTGTACGACCACGAAAAATATTAATTGAACTACCCCATTTAGGACGTGTAAAGAACAAACGTTGCTTTGTTTTGAAAAAAAAAAGAATATATCCGAAATAATATTTTAATTTCCCACGTGTATCGATCACGAAAATCTACGAACTCGATATAATATCATTGTTAAATACCGAAATCAATTTATGATTCTTTTTTTATAATATCAAGTGACGGGACGAACAACTCGTGTGCCTAAGCTACACGCCTGTCCACAACAGTTGCAGTGCCACTCAGAGATTTAAATCGCAAAGACTACCACTGCCCCCGTCACTCTGAGACATAAGTTGACAAGTCCTATGTGCCTGTAATTTCATCAGCACCCTTACCCTTCAAAACAGGAACCAGTAATGCTGACATTACAGCTAGGCGGCAGAAATATGAACGTAATTATTTTAAGCAAGTAAATCCTGGTCATTAACAAATATTTAGAATAGCCCAGTAGAATAGCGTTAAGAACTAGAGCTGCCTTGTAAAAAGCTATCGACTCCTTAGGTGTTTTTAAATAACATCGAAAAGTGACAGGACCGTCTGTGTACTTCTAGTGCCCGGAATATGAAATACTCATTATATCGTAACTGTAGAACATAAATAGGTTGTTATTGCAGTACTGGTAGACAAAGAAGCCTTTGTGCAAGAAGGTACTTCAAATTCAATAAACTGCAAGCTGCTATTTATAGAAAACGCGAGGGCGGTAATGCTAAAAAGCGAGCACAGCACAGGACCGCAGTTAGGGAGGTGGATTTATAAAAAAATCCGGGATAGGCATTTAAATTATGAAGTGAATATAAATCCAATAAGACTTTATTAACTAAATATTTACAATTAAGTTACAAAATATTAATAATAATATAATATTATTAGTAACTCACTGTGTATTCCATTAAAGTTAAATATAAGTATATAGATTGAAGCAAACATTATTATGCTTTGTTTGTATCATTCACAATATAAAGATTTAAATGAGTCAGACACTTTCCAGCATTCATAATAATAAAGTTTAACAAAAATAAATGACGTACATACATTTCTGCTTAGTCGTTGAATCAGTTGCATTATCATCAGAATAATATTGCTAATCAGTCTAATATCAATAGTAATAGGTACAGCATACTCAAATTAGACTTGTTGTAAATTTTAATCCGGCGAATTTAAAATCGTAAATTTTCCACTTATCTTAGACTTGTTGCATATATAGTTTTAGACTTATTATATACGTCTTGTGAAACTGAAATTGTAAATTTTAGGAAAACAAAATTTTCGGTTTATTTTAGACATGTTGTACTTATTATTTGATTTTTAGTTCTGGACTTAATCATAATATATAAAATATATTTTAATTAAGTACCTCAACGTTTCGGACGTATTGCACGTTGAGGTAATTAAAATAAATGGTTTTTACATGATTAAGTCCCGAACTAAAAATCAAATAATGTGTGAAAATCGTGAAAGTTTAAATGGTTTTGCCAAAATATTTTATTGTTTCAATGGATACTTCCTACGTAAAACTACGAGTAACTCATTGTAATGCATCTTGCGGCATACAAAGTTTTTAGATACTCGTACAATAGTTTGTACACTATATAATATTGTACGGCATGAGTATATAACATAACACACACACAAAAAAGAACAAATATATACGTGTTATACAATTATACGCACATGACAGTAGGACAGCGCAGGGTCAAGTCACTCGCTTTTACTCACTTTAAACGTGAACCAGGTATTCCTTTTTTGTTATGAATATTAGACACTATTATCCACATTTTCATTCACACTTATTCATAGCGTTTTGTTCTTAATTACGAAACCAGATTCGGTTAATGTGTATGTCGAATAAAAGTCATCCATGCAATAAGCAACGACTTTCATACATCCTTTAGTGGCAAAAGGTACGCCCACTACTGATAAAATTATATACATATCAAGTGTTACGCTTTTCCCGACTTGTAATAGTTTATATATATTCAATACTGCATTTTTATGTAGACTTTTGGTATAATATAAAACACTATATTATTTACAAGAACTTACTAATGAATTTACTCATTTATAGTGAAGTTCTAGGGTTGTAAAATTGTTCAAATTTATGACTGAGTGTGTTAGGCTAACTTTTAATATATATATTTTCTATGTTCAGTCCGACTCCGCAATGCGTGGACTTTATTTTACTCGACCGAAAATATCAAGAAGGTATGACAATTTTATTTTATTTAACGAAGTTCGTCGCAAGTGAACATACTTAATAAAAATAAGCACCCAAGTTCGTGTCTGTTCGAGTTATTTTCAATTAAACGGCGCCAAGGGAATCGCGCCTTGGCCGACACCTCACGTTTCCTCAATATTTTCCCTCTTCTCATAATTGTGTCTGTATATTCAAAATAAACATGCTTGCAAGTATATAAACTTGGTTGTCGGGACATAAATGATACGGCTTATAATATCTTCGATACTTATTGAAAAAAGAACTCTTTCACAAGGAGCTCTACTGCTACTGAATTTCTTGAAAATCTGTAAAATTTGATGATAATAAGAACAAAATAAGAAGAACTATATATTTGATTTGATAAGGTAATATCAGTTAAGAGATTCTTATTTGATAAAAGAAGAATGTGTACTCTATATTAATTAAGTATGATCTCATTTTAAAACTCTACTTGATAAGAATTAGGCATTTCCATTTGCAAATAAATTTATAACGCATAAATTACCTTAATTAATGTTAATTTTTTTAGTTTTTACTAATTTTGTCTAAATTTTGCTTCTTCAAGGCACAACAATGCATAAAATAGACAGCTTACGTCCAAACAAATTAATAGAAGAATAATTCCCTGACACAAAAACGGTGTAAGTATTGAATACAACCTTAAAAACTCACAAAAAAAGGAGTTCAGTGTCAATATATTCAATTTGGCGACTGACTCAGATATGCATACATCAAATTAGAACGTGTCGCCCCAACTCGCTGCCGAATGCTATTTAGTTATTAAGTGGTTTTCACACTAATGAACATTGCAAATGATAATTAATGTACCAAAGCAACGACGATGAGTCGCTTAATTTGTCATTTTTGTATATACCATATAAAAGCGATTCATCAAACAGAAAATAGTAAATATAAATTGCGGCGTAAAGAGGATTTTTTTCGACATCGTTACAATTCCTAATGCAACATTAGCGCGAGTCGATTTCGCTTCACTTTAATTTGAAACCTAACGCGAAGTTTTTACATTCACTTCAACAATTAGACGCATTCCTCTGAGTCATCCACCCGAGACTTGTATTTTTATTAGCTAGTTTGCAGTATATCTATGTGTACTCGTACCAAACTTATCTCTTTACTGATAGCGGAAGGTCGAAAACTTAACCGAACCATTTTGTGGATTATAGAGATTTGTGCAAGCCAGGGCAGGACAAATTTTAAAATGATTCCACCAAGAGCAAGGACGGCGGAGGTCGGTGATGATGGGTAATAATGGTAAGAGGTGTCGCGTTCTGTGCTTATTGTGACGAAGCTGATTACGTGTATCGATGTCGTTACCGATCAAACGGTGACCTCATGTGAGTGACGTCATTGTACTCAACGGAAAAACCTGCCGAACATATGTGACTCAAGGAAAAATTAGTTAATGAAGGAACAATTTTGTAGTTCATTTTCAAAGAGATGAAGTGGTCTTTAATTTACTATTTAATTCTTTCGTGTCACCAATACGCAATTCAACTTGACTTTAACTTCCACATTAAAATGTCAAATCTTAACACGCTTTTTGGGTCGACATCGCTGAAAATGTTCATCATAAACACAGGCAATTTAATAGGCACACAGAATCGCACAGGAAAATCGGCGGCGGCGAGCGGCTGTCGAAAAATACACGAGAACCAGTTTGAGCTGCTTTTGTTGAGATCTTTCGGCGGGAGTTCGATGACCAATGCAAATGTGGGCACATGTTAGTGCGATTTGAGGTGCGAGGGTGCGGCGCGGCAAGTGAGGGGTGCGGTGCAGCCTGCAGCGGTCATCAACCGCCGCTGTGATTAACGCGTGACTCACTGCAACTCTTTGTCTCCACGCCCACGTTTCGCTTCATACCTACCTTCCGGCGTCCTGACGACTCCTCCCGGCGGAAAACCGACAAGTCTGCCTAGCCACGTGCTCGCACTAAACCACGTGTTCGTTCGCACGTCGATCCACTTGCAAAACGCGATCCTGACGATCACCGCCGACACGGTAAGTGTACTCCAACAAGCGCCTGGAACTATCATAACCAGAGCACCTGATGAAGTACAATGGGCGTGCGGCGGTCGCTGCTGGTATTCTGCTGCAATATAGCGATGAAGCGCAGCAGGCGACGCGCGCTACTTCAGGTACCTGACTCGGTGAGAACAGCCCTGGCGCCGGAGTAGCGCGCGCCGCCGACCACTAATATTTCCTATTAATAGCGCGGGGCGCGCCTAAGAGGCGTGCGTCTCCGTATAGGATCGGGAGTCGACTGCACCTCGGGGCTGGTTCGCGTCCCCCGCGCGCCGCCAGACGTCAGCTGACCGCGGCTGCACCGGCCCTGACATTGGCGCGCCCGCCGCCGCGCGGGGGGGCGGTCGCTGACCCCGCCCGGCCCGCCAGCGCCGCGCGCCGCTCCGCCGCGAGGCCTGCGGAAGCCTCCGCACGGATCTGGCGCCCCCGCCGCCGCTACCACCTCCGCGACGTCAGTCATCACGCTGTGACATTTACAAGTTGAAAGCTCAATGATGAGCTATTTAGGTTCTCTTTGACCAATATGTATTTCTGCCGCCAAGCAGTTATGTGACCATTACTGCGTTCCGTGTTCAGTGCCTTTCAATTAAAATCTCTAAGTGGCACTGCAACTGTTATGGGCATGTCGCTTACCACCAGACGCACAACTGGTTCGTTCCATCACTTGGTGTCATAAAAAAATATATTACCTACTACCCTACATATATATACACTACTGTATCTGATATATTTTGCTTATCGGATCTCTACATCAGTCAACCATTTTCCTAGAGTGCTTTAAAATAAGCTGTAATTAGCAATAAAACTCTGATAATCGTGATGAATTACTCAGAATTAAACCTCTATAAGGTGTCTACTCGATATGATATCTGCACACTCCGACATATAGATCACGGCTTAAACACAAACAGTGGAAGAGGTAGTGTAATAAAGGAAACACGGACACGCTATGCTTCCAGTAACAATCTTGATCTTGAATTCCATGTTCCCTGTCCTTAAGTAGCAATGTCATCGGGCACGTCATAGAAAGATATCTGTAAAGGTAACAACGACCGAATCACTTCTGATTAAGTATAATAAAATGATTAATTGGCACCGTTTGCTATCTTACCGTTGCCGCGTCAGGTGTACCATATCTAGTCACCTTGACTCCACGTCTGAATGTGGATATAAAATAATAAGCATTTCTTGTTGGTGTAATTAAATTAAGCCCCAAAAGGGGAAAAGCAAAATTTTTGTTTTTTAAAACCGTATATCCGTACATATTTTATATTTAAAGTCCAATTGATGTCAAAATAAATTGCCTAAATAAAACAAAGATAGAGTTCAAATGTTCGACCTTGGTCAGGGGTGTTCGGAGACAACGATCACGAACCCAGTGGGCTGCGACCTTTTATAATTGGAGGCCTTCGCCCTCGGAGAGCTGATGTTACCGCTCAGACTAATAATTAGACAATTGCACAAAACAAATTACACGTACCGAATTACTAGTGAATTTGGAATCTACGGCTAAGAACAAAAACAAAAAGTGTCCCAAAAGGGCTTTCAAATGTCAGTAAAAACATCTTGTGGCCTTCTACATTGCTTGGTAGACCAATGTCTTTCATTATCTCTGTTAATGCAGTGCGTGATATATTTTATTAAATATAAACTTGCGACAATATTATCTATAATAAAGCACGGCGCGTAAAGTTCATTGCATTGCAGGGTGAACATTCGCCCGCGGTTCACTTTGTACTAATAGTCTAATATCTTGTAGATTTAAACGTATACCAACAATATGTTGCTATACAGGGAGTAATTGTTAATTGTGTCCAGGCGATTATTTCGTAAATATAAGAGATACTATAAAAACCCTTTTTAAAATAAAACTAGGTTCCCTTTAATATGACATTCGTAAAGAGGTATTAGTTGACCTACTGATAGAGGTAACAATAAGTTTACTAATACTGAAACTGCTATAAATAAAGAAACAAAACTATCTTTTAATGGAATAAAACAGGGGATGTTTATTTTTAAGTAAGAACAAAATTTTTGTATTCAAAGCAGTTATTCGCAAGCAACGCCTCTCTACAAATGTCATTATAAATAAATAGAAGCCTTAAAAGTCAAAATTATGAATTTTATTTTTTAAAAGGTACTGATGTCGTTTTACTCATTAGGTAAGGCACTTTCGATAACAGTTTAGAGTTTAGAGGGTTTTGATATATCTTATATTACGGAATAATAGCCTGGACACACTTAACGAATAAATGCTGTATAGTAATTATTTTTATATAGGCTGAGAGAACAAAGTAATAAGTTGTCTTATCAAATAATGACATAAATTTTTTTTTACTAGTGATTAAAATTTGTTTTAGACTAATGCCAGCAGAGGAAACAAAAGAGGTATGACGAAAGGAACATATTGATAGTCTGCTTACACCAGTAAACGAGCAGATAACGTGCAATATTTGTCTCCAAAATTATACATAGATATAGGACAGCTACAGTTTTTCAAGTGCTAATTACAAAAAGTTTAAAAGAAATATTTAAATTATAAAAAGTGTATTAGAAATCTGATTTATACACAAGTACGCATTAACAGTTCATTCAGTATCTAGTGCAATAATAGAATACTTTGCCGTTGCTTCTTCACTTGTACAATTGTATGCCTCCAAATAAAGATAACAACAATATGTATCTACTTCTAAGATTTTTTATTATTTTGTGTTAGTTCGTTCGTAGCAGAAGGAACGAATGGCATCGAAACAAATCCAAATAGGGTTTAACGATACTTTACAATATTTATGAATACTTTTTTCTTAATATATTAAAATGAATAACAAAAAAATAAAAAAAAACAGTAAACGAGATTCAAAGTAACTGGCCAGTTATTATATTTTTTAAGGACCCGAGACGAAGACACCTATTCCCTAACCCCCACCACGAGACGAATACAACCACGTCAATGATTTCACATGGATCGAACTATCAATCACACGGATATCAATGTCGAAACGATCAATAAAGCAACCTATTATTGCAAAATTCATAATATAGGCTCAGTTTTCAGCAACATACAGTTGTAATTACTTGAAAAACGTTAAAAAATGAACAACTAAATAATCGTACTCGTATCTGTTAGTAAACAAATGTATGGACATTTGTTTAGAGAGACACGGTGTCCGTAACGATTTTAGTAATTTATTTATAATTTTTGTACTTTTTTTATAAATTTATTTTATTCTTAAATGGTGGATGAAAACACAGCTGCATGTTAGAGACGACGTGTGGCTCTAGGACATTACAATATCAAAATCTTTAAGAACACCGTGTATCTCTAGGACACGTGACAGGTTAACTGTAACACTTTATTAAGTTTTGCTAAGTTAAAAAGTAAAGGACAGTATAATAGTCAGACGCAAAACATTTATACAACTCGCTATCAGAATTATTTGTTTAAAGATTTATTGAATTATATGTAAAGTTATCGAGTTCTTAGGTTTTCGCGATTATTACACATAGGAAAAATAGTTTCATTTCCTATATATGTAAAGTTGTTGTGAAAGCCTTTATACGGACCCAGACTTCTGACATATTAAAATCATCATTATAAACCTGATACAGCTCACTCACTGCCCTGAGTATAATTATTCCAATCCAATGCTCCGAAGGTGTGCTCACGCGCATTCAACTCATCAGATGTAGAGAGCAATGCTGCTTAACAATAACGTCGTATGTTGCACTTGGCTTTGTTCTCATTGTTTATTTTGCAATAAAGCATGAACTTTATTAAAACTAGTAAATGGACTTTTTATTCTTTAAAATTGGGTAATATTCCAAGTGATATTCCATGTAACATTACCGTAGTTTTGTTTATTTTGAACGATGATCTTATGGAATATTCAAATTTAAAGTAGTACATATCTATTTGCATAAACTTATCTCCATTATTCAAATACAACCTCCTATATATATTATTGTGTATACATTATTATTATACCTATAATTTAACATTAACGTCAACATTTTTTTTCTTCTTATTAACCAGTGATTGCTTGAATTTGAAGATGTTGTGTGGTGTTATTATCATTGTAGTGCATTATCATAGTAGTAGCAGTAGAGCTCCTTGTGTAAGAGTTCGTCCAGGGAAGTACTGCCACCTTACCTATTTCTGCCGCCAAGTAGTAATGTGAGCATTACTCCGTTCCGGTTTTGAAGGGTAAGGGTGCTGGTGATATTACAGGCACATGTGGCAGTGCCCATAAGATCTTTACGATTTAAAGCTCTGAATGGGTAACCTATCACAAAGTCGAATTTTTTTTATCCAAAATAACGTTTGTTCGAATTTTCATTACACCGAAAATAATTAACGAAACAGTTGTTCTTTCAGGATATGTTGAATTTTTATCGCAAAGACACGATTAGGTTCGGTTAGGTTACGTTAAGTTAGGTTTAAAAGAAAAAATATTTTCCTCTCAAAATTACTTTCGAGGTTATGAAATTTCGACCAAACGTTATTTCTGGAATATGACATTTCGGACTACTGATAGGTAACCCTCTGAATAGCACTTCAACTGTTATGGATAGGCGTTTTACTTACAACCTGGCGCACCCGTCACTTAGTATTATAAAAAAAGTGAATTTTATTTAAATATGAAAACGAATTAAAAGTTATTATAATTAAGGCTCTTGGCAATAAAGGAGTACTATAATTTTCTTCTTATTTCTAATAATTGCTGTCATTCGGCCATATTTGTTTTACCGGTTAGACCTTAAAAATAGATTTTACAAATGTGGTTAGATGGATGGCAGCACAGCGTAAAATGTGGTGTAAGGTTCACTGTAACAGGGTGAACTGTCGCCCGTGGTTAACATTGAACCATTATTAAGGTGGCTCAAGGGCACGATTCGCGATTTGACCCGGCCAAAGCCCTTGGACAGAGGAGACCGCTCTCAACGACGTTGTTTCGGTACAAAATAGATATCTGAAAACGTTACTAATTTATACTTTGGTACCGAAGAAGGTAAAACGTAAGTAGTACAAAATTTATACCATCTAAAGGCCTGTCTACACGGAGGTTCACCGCGGGTAACCTTGCACATATAATATGGAAAATAGTATGCATTGCTAGCCTGGTAGCAGTAGAGCTCCTTATGAAAGAGTTCTTCCAGGGAAATAATGCCACCTTAGGGTGCGTTGCCTCTATGTCGTAACGTTTTATTTATCGTTGGACGACTGTCGCTACTAGCCTATTCCCATATGTCGACTGTCAGTCGTGACCAGAACCTGAACTTATAAGGGTCCTGTGTGTACACAGGTTATAAGTGCCCTTCTCGTATACCCCAAGGGTCGGTAGGGAGAGTCACTATAATCAAATCTAATGTAGAAAAATGTTAGCTGTCTGTCGTGACTGTATGGTGCATTTTAGGTTATCTTTGACCAATATGGTCCTTACCTGTCAAATTTCCAGCCCTATGT